AAAAAAAAAAAAAAAAAAAAAAAAAAATCCGAATATGTCAGCCCATCTCACTTATTAAGGGAAATTTTGAACATATGGGGGAGGGGCTTCCTGTATCTACTTGGGGAGCTGGGGGATGATAAAAGCAGCAAAACAAATTGAGTTAAGGTTGTTTATTCCAGCCTAGAGATTTTCCTCTAATGTTCTTACTTTACAAGGAAGTCTCCAGATGGGGAAAGAGGGTTTTGCCTTTAATTTCAGTAAGAGGGGCTATTCCTCTTCAGAGCTGCTTCCACTGCCACTACAATATCAACAGATTTCACATCTGAATTCCTCAGTGGCAGAGATTTTTCAGAACTCAGATGTTTTGGGGTTTTGATAAGAGATGATCTAATAATATGCTGTACACAGGTTGGTCATCCCAAATTCGAAAATCCGACATCTGAAACAGTTCTGGTTCCAGGCATTTCAGATAAGAGATACTGAACCTGTATTAAGTAGACCAGGAGTGCAGCCCTGATAACCAAACACATGAATGTTTCTGCAGTGAAATGAATTAATATTGACATCAGTAAGATAAAAGCAAAGCATAGATAGCCTCACTTTAGTTCAGGTTAGGTTTTTGTTACCAAATGAGTTTTAGTGGCAGACTGATGAAAAACGTTTGGTTCTCAGAGTGTCTTTGTTTCAGACTTGTGGGTGAATATGGATCTGTTGATAATAACAGGAACAACAATCACCAGCATCTACCAAGTGCTTATCGTGTGCCAAGTGCTCTAATTGTGTACTATGTCAGTTGATTTTCAAAACATGTATGTCACAGCATGGGTACTTTGAACATGGGCACAATCACTGTATAAATCTATAATGTATAACACGGGACAGTGTAGTTGTTAAGAACATGGGCCCTCTTGCTAAGTTTCCTAGGTTACAATACCTGCTTTACCAGAAAATAGCTGTGTAACTTTGGCAAATGACTTAACTTCTCTGTGTCTCATTTCCTCATCTGGGAAATGTGGTATAATATTAGTACTTATCTCATAGGATTGTTGAGGATTAAATGAGTTACTCTGTGAGAAGTACCTGGCAAATAGCAAGGGCTGTTATTATTTTGTTTAATTTTGCAAATGGCAAATTAAGCCTTAGGGTAGTTTAGTACCTTGCCCAAGAACACACAGCTATTAGGCGTGGAGCTGGGATTTCAACCCAGGGAACCGCAGAGCCAGCGTTCTCTTTTTTTTTTTTTTTTTCCTTTTTGTCTTTT